TATAGGTATCATGGTAAATTATGCACTTTATTTATTATTTCTTAAGGGGTGTGCAAAGTTAATAGTGGACAAGTAAAAGCGAAAGAGGGAGTACTTGTCACTTTTCGCATATCAAGAGAAAAATAATATATTTTCCATGTTTTGCTCCTTAACATTAATTACTCATTCAAAATCATTTTTCAAATCCATTAAGACTATACACCAATTATATAGGTATCATGGTAAATTATGCACTTTATTTATTATTCTTAAGGGGTGTGCAAAGTCAATAGTGGACAAGTAAAAGTGAACGGAGGGAATATGAGTTAGGTGTGTCTTAAATAAAAAACGCTCCAAAATGATTACAATAATTCTTTAATACGTATGAAAACAACCAAAAATTCAATTAAAGTGAATCAGAGGGACTACGATAATTTGTTTGATTCTCGAGAATATGCTCCTAAAATAAATAAATAAATAAATAAATAAATAATTCTTACTCGTATTTATTTGAATTAATTAACCTAGGTATGTGTGTCTTAAATAAAATTGCTCCAAAATGATAACAATCACCATCTCCAAATACCTCAATAAGTGGATTTATTACGAAGGTTTGATTGTCAAATCACGTGGGCGACTTGGATCATCATCATCATCAGGTTTGAACGGTTGGATCTGGTAAGACTCGTTAACTTTGGTATTATTATCACTTTTAATCTGCGTCAGAAATTATTTATATTTGGTAGCCGTAAAAGTATATAAAATTTATATAATTTTGTATATAACATAAAGAATGTGTATATATACAAAAATATACAAATTTTATATATTATTTAGACAATTATTTTTTACAGCGGCTATACAATGTCATTTTTCTTTAACTTTTCATAATAATCTTAATTAAAACATTAATAATATATAATATATAATATAATATATAATTTCTTTTTATCTACCTAAATTTTGGTGGATATATATCTGATATCTGTATATATTATGCACTATATAATATTAATTTTTTTTCTGCCTAAATTTTAATGGAACAATATCTATATTGATTTGTAGATACCATTTATCAAGTACTCGATAAAATATTCGACATAAATACAAGATGAGTCGAACATCCTCAAATATAGCACTAGCACGTAACTTGCATGTACAAGTTTTCGGTCAAATAATTATATAAATATGAATAATGGAAGGCAAGTTGATGCAAAGGCTTCTAGATTGAATTATAAGAAAAAATGGTACGTATATTTTTCAGCAAGTTGTCTCGATCTTAAATCTTTATATTACAAAATAAAATAAAACCTGACTAAGATGTGTTCGTTCAAACGTACGTAGATCTCAGTTAAATGAATATCTTATTAATAAAAATGGTAATATTATTCTTTTTTTCTCATTGCATGTGTCTAGATTCATGGGATATCTCCATATGGACAAGATCATTTTGATGCCACAAGTAAGGAAGTAGTATCCAATGATAAGTAACCAAAAAAGGGGGGAAAAAAAGAGTCCAAAATTATATATCTATTTTTTTTAATAATCTGTAAGCTGTATACGTCATCACTTTTAAGTAAAAAATTACTGTTCAAATCTAGAACAGGTACACTTAATTAGAAGCATCCAATAAGAATCAAACAAAAAAATGCAAGTTATTCTACTACGTATATATTATTGTCCGCTGCTTATATTAAACCTTGATATATTTACTACTTGATACAAAGAAAATGACAGACTAACTAAAGCTATTATCACTTTCATATATTTTAATATAGTTTTCTTCTTTTTATTTCTCTGATATTAACTTAGAATTTCAGAATTTTATGCACATACTTAAATGATCATTTTTCAATAATAGTTGTGAATATCGATTTGAGGTTGTTCCTTAAATTCTTGTCACATAAACTAATCTAAATCCTAACAACGAAATTCAACTCTATTTTAGCACATGAGAGGAGAGGGGTAGTATCATGTATCTCAACTTTAAAAGAAATTATAGTTGATTAAGCTGAATTTTATATTGTTCGATCTTCCTCAAAATAGTTTATTTTTAAAAGATTCAGTACGAGTGCAACGGTACTTTTCAAAAATCTGAAAAACATAGAAGTTAATAACTCTCAGTGGTAGTAAGTGAAGTCATGTGAAAAACTGTTTTAGCAGAAATAATAAGGATGCCACTGTCAATGATCATCTGCATTCCTGTTGGCTTGCTAAACTTGGAAAATTGGTATTCCTTCCGTCGTGGTTACTAAAATTAATCTATCTCAAATTATTTATCATTTTATAAGTTCAAGATAAAATTAATTTTTTTTTCATTTTTTCTCATAGTAATAATTATTCTTGAAGATAGAGATAACACATAAATATAATAAATATTATGAAAAAAGATTATATCTTAAGATACAAATAAGGATAGAATAGTCTAATTTCTTTCCTAATTAATATTTCTTAAGGGGCGTGTAAAAGAGAAACACGACACATAATATGAGACGGAAGGAGTATTGTATACCGGATGAAAAATTAATTTTTTTTTTGAAAGGATAATTGAGCTAGCCGAAAGTGAGTTTAGGATTTGGACTTTATATTCGGGTTAGAGTTTCATACCACGATTCATTTGATTTATTTTGGTTCAAAATAAACTATTGTATTTATTTAGTTAATTTTTCAATATAAATATAAGTTCGAGTCAAAACTAATGAATTTGGATGCACACATAACTTATCCATCTGGGGAGCTAGGTTCACGGGCTCTCACACACACACACACACACAGATATATATATATATATATATATATATATATATATATATATATATATATATATATATATATATATTTATTTATTTATTTATTTATTTATTTATAAAGCCCAAATAATTGATGGACATGAAAAAAACTTACAAAGCAATCTTTTATTTATTTTGGCAAAAGATTCTAACATTCGTATAATTATTATCAAAGAAAATTGAAAAAGAATATTTTTACTTTTGGGCATAGTTAGTACTTAGTAGTAACATTTAATAAGGGAATATAAGGATGACATAGCTAGCAGCAGGTGAAAATGAAACTCGATTTTGAACAGTGCAATTTGAGTTATAACCTCTTGTCAGCTAAACTATTTTCTGTTAAATTATTTAATTAAAGAGAAAGATAAAAATGAGAGATCTGCCGTTCTGAAAATATTTATGATGATCATTTAATTTATAGAACCGCAAATATAATGATAGATGAAGCGTGTAGCTCTACCGCTAAATTATCACTTAAAGTTAGGCAATAATGGAGTTTTTTTATATGCATTGGAGTGATTTAGATATTATGGTGAAGCGGTAAACATTCCTTTGTTTTTAATTAGAATTCAAAATTTGGATACAGAATCAAATAATTATCGAATAACATCAGAAAAAAATATATAAAAAGGGGTGGGGGGTGGGGTGGGGATTGGAATCAAAATAAGGATTCTATGATTCATTAACAAAACATAAAGTGGGAAACCTTTTAAATAGAATCTTGGATGGAGAAAAAAGAAAACAAAATTAGTCAAACTGTATTTGTTAAATAAGATATTTTGATAATTTTCATATGTCAAGATCTAATTCAAATGTGACTCGACCATTACGTGTCTTAGCCAATTTATAATATGTTGTTTGTTGACTAAATGTTGAACCACTTTTTAAGGATCCTGATCTCATTTGTAATTTGTATATTTACAAAATAAATTTAATAAAGTTAATTAGCTCACTCTTTCTTTTGGCCTTCTGCCTTTCCTTTTTTCTTTAGTAGTAACATCTCCTTTTAATTAGTTTTTGTTTTTGTTTTTGTGTTACGCCATTTTTTGAAGGTTTTGCATGTCTTATAAGAGTTATTTAATAGTATTATTTAAGAGTATTTATCTAAAAAAATTCATCTCGCCTAAAACGTGTCACTTAATTAATAAATATTTACTAATTGAAACACTAAGAATAGATTAAAAAAGAAGAAGATAATGAACAATTTTCTTAAAAAAATATCAAATATTTTAAAACAAACGCAATTTGTCAAAAATATTGATATTTAGCTCCGAAGGAAGTATTTCCTAGAAGACGAAAAAAAGTAAAAAAAAAATACTTTCGTTATCATTACGCTTTTTATGAATTTATTTTTATTTTTTTTTTGGTCAAAACTTTTTATGAAATTTCCCAAGTGGGGTGAAGTTGATAAGCTTCCAAATTTATGATGTTTCGTGATAAGGTCCATAAAAAGAGGCCTACTCCAATGATTCTCCCTCATCTATTACTCTAGATCAACTCCAAGATGTGAGAATTCAATTTTTTCCCCAACCAAAGGAGAAAAATAGTTAAAAGGGTTGAACCTTTTAACTAGTTGTACCTTTTAAAAGAGAAAAAAATTGTGGATCATGAAAAATAGTTGTACCTTTTCTTTTTTGGGAATATTTCTTAGAACAAATTTTGAGGAGGAGCATGCAACAACGGTAAAGTTATCTCGATTAATTAATATGTCACATATCCGAGTTGTTGAAATAGTCATTATATGCTTGCATTAGAATAAACTGTTTACATAACACCTTTGGGGTGCGGTCCTTTCCCAAACGCGAGATACTTTGTGTATCGGGTTACCCTTATTAGAATAAATTTTCTTACCTTTTCTATTAAAATGAAAAATAAATGTGAAATTTGAAATAAGTGTGATTAATATAATCTACATAGTTTGTTCACCTTTTTCCTCTATCGATCACAATTTACTTGATATTTTCTTTCATTAAAAGTTAAACTAAAGTATAAAGCTGAATTAAAATTTTACATATCGAAATATATTAAAATAATGACAATTAGAAATAATTTAATAAAATATTAGCCAATTCTTTTCTTAAAATTGTCATTTTCAAAAACAAATAAGTTGAGACAACAAGCACTTGCAAGCCACTTACAAACCTTGTTGTTTAATGCACTTGTGAAGTTTCAATTCTTGTCCTAATTAGTAATTACCGCACTTTGGAATTTTTTTTAGGCAAGGCCAAAATCATGCCTCTCTTTCCTTAATTTCTTCATATATATTCATGCATTCGCTTCATTTCATTCAAATTTGACACTCAGAAAAAGACCAAAGATCCACCCTTTTCTACTCCTTTTCTCCTTCACCCTTTTCCCCCTCCATTTTCTCCTCCTATTTTTACTCCCTTCTCACAATACTTCACTTTCATTTTTGGTTTGTAACTTCCCTCAGCAACCAATCAAATCTTTATTAATCCCCATTTTCAGTTTTTTTTTGTTTGTTTAACATACATTTTTCATTTCAAAATTCAATCTTGAAATTATAAGAAAAGAAAAGTTGAAAAGGGAGAATTTTTAAAACTTTTTTGCTTTTTTACTTTTTGGGTATTTTGAGTGTGGAGAAAATCTTTGCTTGAAAAGGGAGAATTTTTTTAAAACTTTTTTGATTTTTGGGGTTTTGGGTGTGGAGAAAAGGTGCAATCTTTATTTGGAATGGCGGGAGTTGGAGGAAAATTGAAGATTTTTAGGCCACTTTTGTCAATTTCATGGAGTTTTCTCTTAGCTGCAATATTTGTTTCAGCAGAAAGAAGCTTAAGAAGAGAAGCTATAGCCCAAAGTGCAACTGAGCTTTCAGATGCAGATTACCTTTCAACTGTTGTCAACTTTTTATGGAAGCCTAATGAATCTGGTTACCATCATGTTTGGCCGGTAAAATTCTGAATTTTTTAATTTAACTTTTTTTTCCATGTTGATTTATGCTCTTTTGGAGTTGTTGTGACTTTTATAGCTTGAGTTAAAACTAACATTCATTTTTATGACTGAACAAGTTTTTAAGTACCTTTTTTTTTAAAAATAAGCTCTTTAAGTTGTTGAGGTCGAGAATTAGTCCTACCGGTAGTATTCCTGCTAGTCTTGTATTTTCGTATTCCTAGATCTTTGTTATTGCATGTTATGCCACTTGCTTCTGTTGTCCTATTACCTTGTTGTTGCTATTATTTGTCTATTGCGTCCTTTTCACTGTTCTTGAGCCGAGTGTCTATCCTCTCTACTTTCATAAGGTATGAGTTAGGAGTAAATTATGCGTACACATCACCCTCCCCAGAGCCCACTTGTGGTTTGTTGTATAAGCTCCTGAAGTCGAGCTAGATATTCTGACAAGGGGATTCAAAAAAATCTCAAAATGCAGTTTCCTTATGCTAACGGGATTCAAAATTTAGTATTATGTATAAAAAATGTTTTTACTATTTACGCAGTAACTTGGCGACGAATCATAGTATGTGGCTCGGCCACTGATAAACTCGAGACAAATTATTGGGTATTGGAATGAAACTGGTTACAAACGAATTGGAACGGATATTGAATATTCATATAGTCGATGTCAACTAGTTTGTGTTTAAAGTGTAGTTGTTGTAGCGTTTGTGAAATGTTGGTATCATATTTATTTGATCCGCAACACTAATTAATAGTTAGTAGTTGATGATTGTATATGAGCTCATTTTATTGGATTTAGGTGGTCCACTAACTGATCAAATTATTAAATCTGGAATTTGAAGAAGATAAGCTCTATGAGCTACAAGAGAGTGAATGCAACCCATAACCAAACACATCAAAATGCTTACCGCACGGTATTCATTTCCCTTTTCTTCAGCAGGCATGGAACATGCATGTCACCTTACTCAACATCAAAAAGAAAGAAAAGAAATAGAGAATATTACTAGGATGTTCAAATAGAAATGAACAAAATTAGGAGGCGACACATAAGGAATGAACATACATGTCACTGCACCCGAGGGTGTGGCCTAGTGATCAATGAGGTGGCTTTGAGAACTATAAGGTCTCAAGTTCAAATCCCAACGGAGGCAAAAAATAGTATGTGCTTTCTTCCCATCTGTCAAATCCTTGGTGGTCAGAGTTACTTGGTACGTGTTGCTGGTGGGAGATGGTATCTCGTGGAATTAGTCGAGGTTCCCGCAAACTAGTCCGGACACCATCGGACTAATAGCACTTTACGTTTATAACCTCCTTGAGCTCTGTGATATTTACAATACTCACATTTTTGCTTTTATGCAAGTGACTATGTTGTGAAATGGACATTTTTGAATATGTACTGTGGTGTCATTGCAGGATATGAAATTTGGATGGCAAATTGTTCTCGGTACCCTTATTGGATTCTTGGGCGCAGCATTTGGAAGTGTAGGTGGCGTTGGTGGTGGTGGCATATTCGTACCCATGCTTAGTCTTGTCGTTGGATTTGATCCAAAATCGTCTACGGCAATTTCAAAATGTAAGATCAGCGACTAATTTACATGACCTTTAGGAAATTCGTTTTCATGACTTGAATGGATTACTGAATTGCAATACTTACTGATTTCCAAATAAAGAAACTCACACAATATTAGCAGTAAACTGTAGTAGCAAGTCTTAATTTATGAATGTTCATCTTCTATTATGAACATCCTACCCTCCCCAGACTCCACTTGTGGGATTATACTGGGTGGTTGTTGTTGTTGTCATCTTCTGTTATGAACTGTTTTCTCCTAGTTAAGGAACTCGTCAATTCTTTTTCTGGTTTTTCAGGTATGATTATGGGAGCTGCGGTCTCTACTGTTTACTATAACTTAAAGCTCAGGCATCCCACAATTGACATGCCTATTATCGATTATGACTTGGCTGTTCTCATCCAGCCAATGCTGATGCTCGGCATTAGTATCGGAGTTGCTTTCAATGTGGTATTTGCTGATTGGATGGTTACAGTTCTGCTAATTGTTCTCTTCCTTGGCACATCAACCAAGGCCTTTCTAAGAGGGGTTGAGACGTGGAAGAAAGAAACTATTATTAAAAAGGTTATCACCTTTATATTGTTGGAAGTTTCCTGCTTTTGAGATACTGTAATGTGTACACTACTTTGTGTTCTTCTCTAGCATGTTAGAATCTTTATTATTTTTTTTCCTCTCCATTCTAACATATGGATGCAAGTATCCAAAGATGATTTATCCGGCCGGATTCTAGCAAGACAATGTTAAATAAGTCATGCATGTGAATCTATGTTGCTTGGACTCTCCAAAAATGTCGCTGGGTGTGTGTCACATCCTCCAAAAGTAGTGCATTTTTGGAGGATCCGACACGAGTGCGACAACATTTAGGGGAGTCCGCACAACAGAGATGTGAATTGTTGGGTTTTGCTAATCATCTGTTATTTCTTACTTCAGGAGGCCGAGGCAGCGAAAACCTCAGGGACTGGTGAAGAAGCAGAATACAAGCTCCTTCCCAGCGGTCCCGCTAATGGCACTGACAAGGACGCCAAGGTTTCTTCCGAACGAGAGGTGACTTTTCCTAACTCTGAAAGGAGAATATTATGCTTCTCCTGATTTCATAACTCTAAAAAATGCCATGTCATTTTAGGTTCCTGTTATGGAGAATGTTTGCTGGAAGGAATTCGGACTCCTCTGTTTTGTTTGGATTGCATTTCTAGCGCTGCAAATTGGAAAGGTTTTCACTTCTTATCTTTTTGGTTCAGTTCCCATGTATTACTTAGGAGGCGATCTGTAATTTTTGTCATTATTTTGGTTAGTGTTAATCTGTTAACTCACTGGCCTTGTGTGTTTGAAATAGATTTACACAGCTACTTGTTCGGTGTGGTATTGGGCGGTGAATTTATTGCAGGTTTGTATTTGGTTATGTCAAAATTATGTTTGAAGCAAACTTCAAAAGATCACGAAGTGATTCTAGCAATCCCGTTATGAACTCTTCTATTTGTTCTGCAGATCCCGGTTTCTGTAGGGGTATCTTCATTTGAAGCTATTAGTCTGTACAAAGGTTGGAGAAAGATTCAATCCAAGGGAGAAGACGGCACCAATTTCCGCGTGATGCAACTGATTGTTTATTGCTTCTTCGGTATACTTGCTGGTCTGGTTGGCGGACTTCTTGGTCTTGGCGGAGGGTTTATCATGGGTCCGCTCTTTTTGGAGCTCGGTGTCCCTCCTCAGGTCAGTTTGTGTGCTGTCGTGGCGTGACCACCCGTACGTCTGCCTTTTTTATTCACACCTTAACATGCAAAAATGCTACCAACTCACTGTCATTTCCCTGCTTGTGTTTCTGGTATTAGGTCTCAAGTGCCACTGCCACCTTTGCGATGATGTTCTCCTCATCAATGTCCGTGGTGGAGTATTACCTTCTAAAACGTTTCCCAGTTCCTTATGGTATGTGGCCATTCCCTTAAGTTAGTGAACTTAAAAAAAAAAATAGATTGTTCGGTTTCATTCTTTCCTTGAGCTGAGAGTTTATCGTAAACAACTTCTCTACAGACATCACTCGTAGGATTACTCTTGGATTTTTGTTGTTGTTGTTCGGTTTCATTCTTGTCTATGTCAGAACTGACAATTGTATGCTTCTTACAGCACTCTACTTTGTTGCTGTGGCAACTGTTGCTGCTTTCGTTGGGCAACACGTTGTGAGGAGGTTGATTGTTGTACTAGGACGAGCGTCTCTTATCATTTTCATCCTTGCCTTCACCATTTTTGTGAGCGCAATATCGCTAGGTGAGCATCTAGTTTCCCTCATTGGCTGCATTATGTCTTCTCGTTCGAATAGCTAAGTATTACAATTGCTTCTTCGTTTTTACAGGTGGGGTTGGAATCTCAAATATGATTGGGAAGATCCAGCGCCACGAGTATATGGGATTCGAGAACCTATGCAAATACGAGGTTTAATGGTGTGAAGCAAACTGGTCCTAATACATTACTGCTTCACTAATTTGAAGTCTTGGCGTCAAATTGGAGGCAAATTCTGGGCTTGGTGAATGGAAAATAACAGTCACCTCAAAGTTAGTTCCATTCTACATTAGCTATAGACCAACAGTAATTTTTTACTGTTAGAGATTTTGCTCTGTAGCAAATTATGGGAATTAAAAGTAGAAATCTTGTTGTTTATGGATTTTTGTCCTTTTTCCCCTGTAATTCATTTTTGAGTTTCTCTATTTTCATGCTTCCATCAATTGAAATTCTGGAACATCTTAACACCAGGAATAATGGAGAAAAGATTGGAATAGGTTGATTTTTGTTTTGGTTATAATATTGTTTTGTTCACTCTGCCAGCAATATTAGTGAGCTTATTCATTCGTTGCTCTTTTTCTTTTCTTTTTGTAGAAATTTTTGTATTAATGTGTATAGCTATATATATGCATATAAAATATTAATGTGTACACCTTTTGTGTATAATTTTGGAGTGTGGCCCTGCCGGATCCTGCGTCAATACGGGGTGCTTCATGCACGGACATGTAAAAGAAACCTACTAATATGGCGAGTCATCACCTAACATTGGTGGTGACTCGCCGTATTAACTATGATCTTTTCTAGTAATTTGGTAAGGAGGCAAAGGTTGGGTAGCAATATCCAAGACCTGAATATCTTGCGAGTAGGGGTAAATCGATTAATCTTGTCTTCAGGCCGGATTTCTCTTTTGCCTGAAGCAATTCTTTTTTACTAGCTTTTTACAAGCTTAATAAAGGATAAATTAATAAAAAGAGAACGAGCGAGCTATTCTTACTCCATGTGTAAGACAAAGAAGTAAAAAGTGGAATCACAAAATCTTTGACTTTGCATTTATAACTATTGATAATATTGTTTTGTCCACTCTACCAGCAATATTGAGCTTATTCAATCATTGATTTTTTTTTTAACAGAAAGTTTATGTGTATACCTATATATATATATATAGATGCATGTAAAAGATACCTTGGGTTGCTGACTCTTTTCAGAATCTTGCGCACACGCGAGATATTTCGTGTACGGGCATATAAAAGAAACCTACTAATATGGTGAGTTACCATCTAATATTGGTGGTGACTCACCATATCTACTGTAGTTTTTTCTAGTAATTAGGTATGGATGCGACGGTTGGGTAGTAATAGCCAAGATCTGAATGTCTCGCACATAAGGGGTAAATCGATCAATTTTGCCTCAGGCCGATTTTTCATGTGCGCGAGATCACTCCCTTTTATTAGCTGTTTACAAGCCCCATGTAATTCAATATAAAGAAAAAAAAAAGAAATTATCCCTAATCCATATGTAAGACAAAGAAATAAAAAGTAAAAGGAACCATTAAGAAATGTTTGACTTTGCATTATAATAATAATATCAACATTTTGAAAGATTGGTCTTCTACTTTCTATTTTTTTAGTTTATGCTAGTATCCATCTCTCGAAAGTTTGAGGATATATAAAAGGACCTAGATTTTCATGATTTTTAGACGTTCCAAACTTTTGGTATACAGGTGTGAAAACAAAAATTTCTCAAAATTTTGTTCAAACATCATTTGAGTAAATTAATCAGACCTTTGTACTTTGAACTATGTCACATAATATGAAATGTGAGTAGTATGAATTGGTTAAATGATCTTGTACAAAAGGTAACATATAAGACATACCGTTAAATATTGTGATTTTAGACATGCTAGTCATTTGTAAGATGAAATGTTGTAACAAATACATGCTAGCATGAAAAATAAGTCATATAAATTGAATCGAGAAGAGTAGTTAAATGAGAGAGACCTAGATGGTAAAAACTTTTGTGCACCGGCTATTTATACCAAGCTATTAAGTACAAACATGTGTACTATATATCATTAAACCATCGTTAACTAATATGCATTTTTTATATGTGGGTAAATATTTACGGACCTAGCTATTGTTTCCATGACTTTCTTTTCAAAATTTAATTGTATCTAGCGAAAAGATTTTCTATGTATATTTTAGATTTGAAGTACAAATCGAAAATCTAGATTTGTGAAACGTTTGCCCCATATTTGGGGAACACTCATATAATTAATAGCACTATCAAATCCTTTCTCTTCTTAATTTAATGATTTGAAATTGATAGGTAGAATGATATTTGAAAGAAGAAAACAATGAGTTTTACATGTTTAATGTTTTGGCCCCTCAGTGGCCACTCCTTTTTAAAAAATTCATTTTAATCCTATTATTTTTTTAACACGTTTTAATAACTAAGCGCTATTATTACAGTCATGTACCTTTCTTTCAATTTTCAGCCACTATGTTTCTCGTGTCCGGGGGAGCCCGATTGTAGAATACTACGAATTCGGTTGAATCTAATAACTTTGATTTTGAGTTATGTATTTATTTTAAAATAATTTATTAAATATATATAAATTATTAAAATTAAATAACTTAAAATGATTAAAATCCTGTACTAATAAATTTAAAATCCTGACTCCACATCTGCTCGTGTCTCTTGCAATATATTATCCTTTTAAGTGAAAAAGAAACAAAAAGGGTGACAAATAGGATTATGTGAAATTTCGGATGATATTTTAATGATGACATACTCAGCGATATTCCATAAATGGGGTCTGGGAGGGTAGAGTGTATGCACCCTATCTTGTGTGAGATAGAAATGTTGTTGCTGATAGACCCTCGACTCAAAATATTTTTTAAAAAAATAGGTTTAAAAATATAAAAGTAAAAAATATATGATAAAAATATCGTATAAAAGAAAAATATTGACAACAAACATAGTTAATACGGACAATATTTGAGTGGACAAAATATGGACATGAGTTCGTGAAAATATAGCATTTTCTAACCTACACAGTCGTACTCATTTGTTTTTCATGTTAGGCCTCTCAATGTGGTCGCTTATGAATTTGCAAGAGTGAAAAAAGACTTGGTATTTTAATACTAAAGCTCACATCACTTTTTTTTTTATTTAGAAAATAATAAGAATTGATACTCTCTCTATATATATATATATATATATTGTAACAAGTATTGATAAAAAGAAATAACTATTCATAACGAATTATTTTATTGTAAAATACATATTCACATGTTAAATTTATTATCCAAGTTTGCATTTTATGATATAAATTAAGATAGATAATGAAGAAGATCAATGGTGGAGCCACTTTTAGCCTAGAGCTAAATAATTTTTTTATATGTATTATCGTTGGATACTCTTTGCTTTTTCATGTATTTAATTTTTGTATTAATGCATTCGAATGTTTTTTTAAGTAGTTGGTTTATTACATTGTTTTTTTCATTTGCTTACTTTTCTCATATTGACATCGCCAACTTACAATCCTGTGTATCTTCTCCTATAACGAAGTGCCTAAGATATGTGGGACCAAGGTGATCTCTTGTTGAAGAATTTACACTGTCTAGTCCAATTAATTAAGAGAAATTACAACTAACACTAGGGTTGTTCAAAATGTAACCGTACATTGACCGAACAATAAAATTGACTTATTGATTTAATGGTATCGAATTATCGAAGTAATAATTGGTGAACGAATTGAGATTTTATAATTAACGGCTTAACGGTTTGGGGTCGAATTACTCAACTTCTTTATCAGATAAACTGTTAACCCGTTAAGAACTTTTATATTTACACTTTTATTTCTATGTATATAAAGTATTATTTGAAACCCTATATCCATTTCATTAAGAATTTATGGGGAGACCAATAAGGATGACACACAGTAAAAGATTTCTGAGAGGAGAGAAAAAAGAATTTTCGGTCCCAAGAATTATCATTTGAATTAATCTCTGTGGCAGAATAAGCCAAAACTGTTGGAATTTGAAAGTTATTCTTGTGAGGAAGTGAGTTTCCATGACCCTTTGTTTGTATAGTAGAATCTAGATTGATATCTTGAAAACTTTTTGTATCAGAAATTTTAATATGGCTTCATATACGTTCCCAGTTTCTTTGTTGCCTATATTATCCAGATTATGTTTCTATTTCTTATCTCTTCTTTTTGTTTTGTGGGGAGGACAAAATATTTAATCAGGTATAAGTTTCAAGATAAATGTTCACTATGGTAATTGAATACAATTCAAAGATGACATATCCTAAATTTTTTTTTTATCTCTAATTCTCTAATTCTTTTTCATTGTCTAATTGATTTAACCGATAAACCGTCCGATAATCGCTAATTCGTTACCAATCATTTGGACCAGATTTTGTGACTTTTTTGTTGGAGAATGAGCTTCAAACATTTAAAGAAGGTATGACTTCTTCGGAATCATTATTTTGAAAAGAGGCAGTCAATAGTGAAATAGAATCAATATTGAACAACCATACATGAGAATTGGTTGATCTTCCTCCTGGAAATAAACCTTTGGGTTCTAAATGAATTTTTAAGAGAAAAATCAAAGATGATGGCACTATTGATAAATTCAAGGCAAGACTCGTAGTCAAAGGGTATAGACAACGAGAAGGTCTAGACTACTTTGATACATACTTTTCAGTTACAAGAATTACGTCCATACAGATGTTAGTAGCATTAGGTGCAGTGTATGGTCTTGAAATTCATCAAATGGATGTTAAGACGGCCTTTTTAAATGGAGAGTTGGAGGAAGAAATTTACATGGAACAACCTGAAGGGGTTGTGGTTCCAGGTAAAGAAAAGAAAGTATGTAGACTTGTTAAGTTTCTTTACGGACTAAAACAAGCACCCAAATAATGACATGCGAAATTTGACCAAATAATGTTGTCAAATAGTATTAAGATAAATGAATGTGATAAATGTGTGTACATTAAAAATGTTCCAAATCACATAGTCATTGTTTGCCTATATGTGGATGATATGCTGATAATGAGTAATGACATTGCCAACATAAATGCTACTAAGCGTATGCTCAATAGCAAGTTTGATATGAAAGACTTGGGAGTTGCTNAACCAAAGACGGTTAAGGGTTGATTGTGTGACTTATGGTTGTCTAGGTATACACCAAAGATCGACAGTTCAAAGATATCAAATCTACCGATTGACCGAGTATATCCGACATAAGTTCACTACGGAAAGTTCAAAGGGAAATGAGGGTGAATGGGAAATGGAGGAAAAAATGAAATTTTTGAGTAAAATTTTAAGTTTCCCCCTCTTGACAATGAGACATTGTCCTATATTGGAAGAGGAAAAGATTTTTGATGGGTATATATATAATTGCTCTTCTTGTAGCTCTTAAAGAGTTAAGAAGAAAGCAAGCCTCGCGCCGTCGTCGTCGTCGCTCGCTCGGCTTCGGCTTCGGCTTCGGCTTCGGCTTCGGATTCGGATTCGGACTTTGTGTTCGCTGAAACACTGTGTGTGATTCGTTCTATTCTGGGAGGAAATAATCCATAACCTTGGGTACTAGGAGGGAATTAAATTCCTTAAGGAAACACTGTGAATTCAGTGGGCTCGAATTAATTACTGTTTCATTACGATAATTTATATTTCCCAGAATTATTGTTTACAAATACAACAATATTAGCGGGACTAACAGTTCTGTGCGATAGAGTCAACCCAGAAGACATTGAGGGGAGATTCGATTTCAGGTGGATGATCACCCTCCAAACCAACTGAGCAATCCCGATGGATCAATTTTTTTAACTAGCGAATATAATTAACTTTTTGCCGGTCGACCAAATTTGTAACTTCGTCCTTTTTTTCCTTCGTTCCAGAGATATACCAAGTGAGTACTAGATTAGTTGCCAACTTTCATTTGTATCCACAAAACAAATATGGTACTATTACAAAATCTTTTCTTCCAAAAAAGACATGCTTTTCTCATGCCAAAACACAAAACTCCCAACTTTAGCTCTGTTTAAATTCTCATAGCATTAGTTCCTTCACCAAGTCATTTGAACTAGTTATTTCAACAAGTCAAGTCCTCCTCCTCCTCTTCTTCTTCTCGAGTTCTCTCCTTTCTACTTCACCATAATAATGAATTCAGACAGTCACAGGGTCATTTCTTGTAAAGGTGAAATTTTCTCTCTACTTAATTATTAGGAAATAAAAAATAAAATATTTTTCTCTTCCAATGAGTGACAAAATCAGAAATTTTACTAAGGGGTGTTCATAATTTATAATATATATAATTTGACCTATATATACAACGGTATAATTTTCAACCAACCATCCTTGGCCGACCGAATGATTTCTCTACTTAGCGAGTAATTGGCTTTTTTTTTAAAAATTGTTTTGATAGTATATATTAATAGTTGATTTAATTTGCACCCAAAAATGCAGCTGCGGTAGTATGGAAATCAGGAGAGGAATTGAAATTGGAAGAGATAGAAGTGGATCCACCAAATTCCACAGAAGTTAGAATTAAGATGATGTATGCAAGTCTGTGTGGAACTGATGTTCTATGCTGCAATGGCTTTCCAAAGGTGGGTTTGTTTGCACTCTTCAAAAATATCAGTGTGCATGTAAGATCCTCCAAAAGTACTCGATGCTTTTTTGGAGGACCCGACATAGATGCGATAATATATTTGAAAAGTCCAAATAACGTAACCTATGACAATTTTTTTATAAGTAACCTTTGTCATATTACACACATATATTAATTTCTAACAATTATTTTCTTTCTTTCTTCCCTTTTTGGTTCTTTTTTGTTGTCTCAATTCCCAGCCTTTGTTTCCTCGCATTCCTGGGCATGAAGGAGTTGGGTAAATCTCTCTCTCACTCAACAAATGCAAACACATTTTTTATATTTTTTATTTTTCATTCAGTGTTCGGAAACTCTTATTTGGTCTCGATTAATCCAAAATCATGTCGCGTAATAAGGCTCATTTTAAAGGGGGAAGTGCTCCCTACTAAAAAAATAATTTCCATTCATAGGGATCGAAACCTAGAACTAGGGGTGTACATAGACCAGGTTGGTTCGGTTTTTATCAAAGCCAAACCAAACCAACTATATCGGTTTGGATTGGTTCGGTTTTGTCGGACTTTTCGTGGTTTTCGGGTATTTTGATACTTAAATATTATTTCAATCTTACTTTGTTAAATTTTTGATAAGAAAATATATGTTTAGTAAAAATATAAAAAATTAACAAACATATTATCTATTAAAGTATTCGTATGACAAAATTTTCTTAGTAACACATAATAGTTTTAGTCATCTGTCAATAATGTTTCGTTGATGTATACTTTTAAGGTTAACCGAATTTAGTAATTAAACATAAAAATCAATATGATACCTTAATAATAATAATCACTTCACATTCGAAAAAGATATAACAATTTAATAGATCTTAACATATGATATGAATATGGAATAACAAATTAGAGATTGGCGTGACCATACAATCAATTACTTAAGGCTAATAAATATAGAGCACTACATATATTATTAAATATTATATCCCGCAAGAGAATCCCAAATATTTTTAGACATTTAAAAAAAAATTATATATAAAATCTTAAAAGTATATATAAAAATTATATATTTATATGTCGGTTTAGTTCGGTTTTTTACTCAATATCAAATCAAATCAAACCTAGTCGGGTTATTTAATCGATTTGATTTGACTTTTCGGTTTGGTACGTTTTTTCCATTCGTTTTTAAATGATTTGTATTACAACATTTAATCTCATTTTTGTCTTGTACCCAGCGAGCTGCCGATTATCTATTTAAAGTTGTTTCATTGTGCTTTATTGATAAAGATTGGGTACTTTTTATGAATCAAAATCAATGTTAAACTATAGTACAAAGATCAAATTTTCTCATAACTAACTATTATTTATATGAAATTGTTTCTTAGCTAGCTGAATAGCAATCGCTGATCTAAATAATTACAAACCCAATCATGCATGCTCTTAAATTATTGTCATGTGTTACTTTTCAAAAATGACTTTTTTGGGCAAATCTTGCAAAACGATATAACAACATATACCCAAGGGCGTGACTTAGTGGTTAATAAAGTAGGTTAAGAACTATGATATCTTAGGTTCCAAATCTCAGCAGAGGCAAAAGTATTCGGTGATTTTTTCCCATGAGAATATTTACACAAATAGCTGGTCGAATTCACTATTTACCTTTTCTAGCCAATATACATCAATCATATAATGATTGTACACGATTATGTATATAATGTACGTGGATTATTCATATATTATACATACATCGGTTATTTTAAGTTTAAGCGCTTGGATAGGCGGTTATTTAAGTTAAAAAGAATTAACCCAAATAGCCGCTCACCCAACCGCTTAAATTTAAAATAGTCGGTTGAGGTATATATGCATAATTTATATATTATATGTGTATAATAATCAATATATAATCTATGTATATAGTTAGAAAAAGAAAACAATGAATATCTCTGATTACTTGTGTAAAGATCCCTTAAGTTAATTCTTCTATGTCGAGACCTTGGTGGATAGAGCTACCCGGTACTTATACTGGTGGAAGAAAGCAAGTACTATCTGAAATTAGTCAAGGTGCGCGCAAGCTGGTTGAACACCGCAACTATAAAAAAAATGTACTTAACAACATGAAAATTTCTTCCAAGTTAATATTGTGTATTTTTTAACTGAAATTCCTTTTTTTTTTCTTTTTATTATTGTTGTTGTTGCTGTTGCTGCAGTGTGATAGAAAGTGTGGGTGAAAAGGTCAAAATTTTGAAAGAAGGAGACATAGTGATACCACATTTCTTAGGAGAATGTGGAGATTGTCCCAATTGCAAGTCTAAAAAGTCCAATTTATGCCACAAATACCCTTTGAATTTCAGTGGATTATTGTTAGATGGAACATCAAGAATGTCAATTAAAGGGCAAAGGATTTACCACCATGTTAGCTGCTCAACATTATCAGAATACCTAGTTCTTGATCAAAATTATGTTATTAAGATTGATCCTAGGCTCCCTATTGAACATGCTGCTTTCCTTTGTTGTGCATTTACAACTGGATTTGGATCAACATTTAAGGATGTCAATATTGAAAAAGGATCAACTGTTGCTGTCCTTGGTCTTGGAGGTGTTGGACTTGGCGTAAGTATATTCGCTAAATAATTTCGTTATTATTTAATGACTCTATTATTATAGTTCCGAGATATATAACAACTTCTCCAACCAAACGACCCCTAAGTGTTCTGAATCTACACTATTAGGGCATAGACACCTTGTTCCAAGCGGTGTCACGTGACAACACTTTGTCGAATTATTTTTCATAATATGTATATATAAATAATAATTAAAAATTAGGTATAAATATAATAAATAATACCGCTTGTTGTTACAGTAATTTATTCATTTGCTCAATTCTTCAAATATTGGCACCACTTACTAAAATTCTCGCATATGTCCTTGAGTTTTTTGAACACTAAGTGATCGATTTTCCAAAAGGTAATAGTTTGTATTTAAAGTAAATTTCTCATTCCCCATCCTAACTAATAGCAAAAAAGGGGGGAACATTGAAAAGTAAAAATTTGTGAGAAATTATTTTAAATAATAGTAGCTTTGTTAACAAAAGCTACTGAGAGGGGAGGTATTTGTTTCCAAAGCCTGATCAAAACACTTATTTAGTTATTTGGTAGTTTATTTATAAGCTTTTTAAATATGCACGGATACTTCCAAAAAAATAACACTACCAATATAATTTAACATGTTATTTACCAATTACACTATCAATTGCTAATAGTATATACTTATCATAGAGATGTACCTATAGCCAATACTTCTTTTCTTTAGCCGAGGGTCTATCCAAAATAATGGTTTGTTATTGTTGTTGTTATTGTATAGAAATATATCTATAATTATTGTATTATAACCTGATTGTGTAAGTATCTTTATACTGTTAGTGTTTAGAAGGTAAACTCTTTTCTTAAATAACATGGAGTAATTCATTTCTCCCTTTTCTCTTTTTTCTTTTCTTACGATTTCTAAATTAAGGAAATTTTGTTTCTTGAAAATACAGGTAGTAGAAGGTGCTAGACAAAAAGAGGCAGCCAAAATCATTGGGATTGATATACACGAAATAAAGAGTGAAAAAGCAAAGATTTTTGGGGTTACTGATTTTATAAATATTAAGGTCAGTGAAAAATCAGTTTCAGAATTAGTTAAAGAAGCCACTGGTGGACTTGGTGTTGACTACTTCTTTGAGTGTACAAATGTGCCTGACCTTATGATCAATGAAGCCATTCAATCCACAAGAATGGTATGTTTACAAAACTCTCCAAAATATTATCAAATTTTACAATATATCTAGAGCGGAAATATAATTTTTCTTAAAGAAATTAAGTATAAGTTCTAGAATTTAGTAAAATGATTCGGCAGATCATATACTTTATGCTAGAATTTCAGAGGCTTTTTAGTAGGCGTTTGGAGATAAAAATTATAATTTTTGAAAAAAGTAATATTTGGCGATAAGTTGAAAAATTGTATTTGGAATTTGAAATTATGTTTGAACATGTATTTCACTTGAAAAATACTGCAGTTTTGTGACTGGGGAAAAAATTTCTAAACTTTTTGAATAAGTGGTTTGGAAAACTCATTTTCGATTTTTTTTAAAAAACTTGTAAAATTTTATGGACAAATACATTTTTAAATTTTTTAAAATTTTATTTTATGGACAAACGGGCTTTAAGAGAAAGACGGCAGTAGATTTTTTTTTTTTTTGGCTCTAATATGACGTGAACATGGGAATTGCATTGTCGAGCAGAGGGTAAAAAGGAATTTGATATTGCAAGTTTGATGACCGAGAGGGTTGAAAAATTATTGATTGGTTTGTGCAAAAATATCCCTTTAGAGGCTCTTATATAAATTTGTCCAAAAATCTAATTATATAATAGCTACGCACACATCGTAAAAATGACACCAGATAAGCACTCAAAAGGGATGCTATTTAAAAATTAGCCAGCGTGTCCTGAATTACAGTTTTTCTGAACAACTTTTTGTCCTGAAATTAAGATTATTAGTTTAAAATTCAGGACAAAATAGTATTGGCTAATCTCTAAATAGCATTCCTGAGAATGACGTCCCCTAGGCATAGCTTAAAATCTTTAATTAAAGCCTCTTTAAATGCAGTTATGTACCAAATATGTTTGTATGTTACATTGTATAATTTCACTTTTGAAATTTAAAAACATAGTTTTTAATTTTCCATTTTGTAGTTAATTTTACTTTGTTTAAATAACTATGTTTGTGTGAGTTGAATAATATTGGGACAACCAATTATTAGGGTTATGGCACAGTGATATTGCTTGGGGCTGGACTTGAATTAGATTGGCAAATGAGTTATGTTCCTCTCATGCTTGGTCGGACACTCAAAGGATCCATCTATGGTGGCATTAGAACTCGCACAGACCTTCCATATATATTTGACAAATGTATTAACAAGGTACGAATACTAAAAAATATTTGCTATTTGAGAACGAGGGTTAAATCATCTAATTTTTAATGTAAATTTAAATATCATTTCATCTATTTTTTTAAAATAAAACTTATATATTTAAAGTTACGAATAAATTGCTAATTAATCTTGATTTGCGTACGCACTCTGAATATGCAGGAGATCAAACTAGATGAATTATTGACTCATGAAGTTTCACTAAACGATGTAAACAAGGCATTTGAGTACTTGAAAGAACCAAATTGCGTGAAGGTTCTTATTAAGTTTTAAGCTCTACAACAATAAAGAAGTGTCAGTTAAGGGTCTAATGAAAATAATCTCTTTACCTCACAAGGTAAAAATAAGGTTTGTTATTGTCGTTGTTGTTGTAACAATAATGTAATGTGGAGCATGATCAAGCTTGTACTGTTCTTTGCCTTTTTTTTCCTTTAGATATTTGTAGTTAGGATTTGATTGAGGATCATTTGACTCTGAAACACAAAGTAACAAGTCAATAATTGTAACGATTTGGCCGATCGTTTTGAGTGTATTAGCTCCGATTCCCTATTTACTGTTTCCCCAGTACCTTTTTCTGCTTATGTGACTTGCCGAGAGGTTTTGTTTTTGGGTTTCAGAGTGTTTTGGGACACTTAGTTCCTAAAACGGGAGTTTAAGTCTTAGAATTTTGACCGTAGTCGGAACTGTGTGAAGACGACTCCATAATGGAGTTTCGTCGGTTTTGTTAGCTCCGTTGGGTGATTTTGGACTTAGGGGCGTATACGGATTGTGTTTTGGAGGTCTGTAGCTCATATATGCTTGAAATGACGAAAATTGACTTTTTGGAGATTTGGACTGGTAGTGAAAATTTTGATATCGGGATCGGATTCCGATTTCAGAAGTTGGAGTAGGTCCGTAATGTTGAATATGACTTGTGTGCAAAATTTGAGGTCAATCGGGCGTGGTTTGGTTGGTTTCGGCATCAGTTGTCGAATTTGGAAGTTTCAAGTTCTTTGGTTGATTAAGGACATGTATGATGGGGCTAAGACTCAGGTTAGGAGAGTAGAAGGCGACTCTGAGCATTTTCCGGTTGTAATGGGGTTACACCAAGGTTCTGCGCTCAGTCCGTTCTTATTCGCCCTTGTGACGGACGCGTTGACACACAATATTCAAGGGGAGGTGCCATGGTGCATGCTATTCGCCGATGACATAGTTCTGATTGATGAGTTGCGAGCCGATGTTAACGAGAGGCTGGAGGTTTGGAGACAGGCTCTTGAGTCTAAGGGTTTCAAGCTGAGCAGGACGAAGACGGAATACCTGGAGTGTAAGTTCAGCACTGAGCCAAGGGAAGTAAGTATGAATGTGAGGCTTGATTCGTAGGTCATCCCGAGTGGAGGCAGCTCCAAGTACCTTGGTTCAATTATCTAGGGGGGAGAGGAGATCGACGAGGATGTCACACACCGTATTGGGGTAGAATGGATGAAGTGGAGGTTGGCATCTGAAGTCCTGTGTGACAAGAGAGTGCCACCGATACTCAAAGGTAAGCTCTATAAAGCGGTGGTTAGACCGGCCATGATGTATGGGGCTGAGTGTTAGCCTGTTAAGAACTCACATATCCAGAAGATGAAAGTAGCAGAAATGAGGATGTTGCGGTGGATGTGCGAGCACACTAGGATAGATAAGATTAGGAATGATGATATTCGGAAGAAAGTGCACGTGGCTTCCATTGATGACAAGATGCGGGAAGCGAGGCTTAGATGGTTTAGACATGTTCAGAGAAGAAGTCCAGATACTCCGGTATGGAGGTGTGAGCGGCTGGTTGTGGAGAGCACGAGAAGAGGTAGAGGGCGACCTAAAAAGTATTGGGAAGAGGTGATCAGGCAGGATATGGCGAGGCTCCAGATTTCCGAGGACATGGCACTTGATAGGAAGATGTGGAGGTCAAGTATTAGGGTTGTAGGTTAGGAGGTAGTTGAGTCGTGCCTTACTTCGTACCATTGTGGGACTAGCCATGTAGGATTTTTTTCTAAGATAGCTAGTGTCAATGTTGTATCTTACTATTTCGCTTTTTAGTGCATGCCCTATTTATTAGCTATCGCTTTTGCTTTGCATCTTTCTTCTGGATTTCATATTGTTCCTATTTTTCTTATGATTGATGTGGTGATACTAATATTGTTTTCCTTTGCTTTGCATCTTTTTTCTAGATTTCATGGTGTTCCTATTTTTCCTATGATTGTTGTGGGGATACTAATATTGTCTACTTTTGTCCTTTTGTCTTTTTTGTTTTCTTGAGCCGAAGGTCTTTCGGAAATAGCCTCTCTACTCCTTCGGAGTAGGGGTAAGGTCTGCGTATACACTACCCTCCCCAGCCCCCATTAGTGGGATTTTACTGAGTTGTTGTTGTTGTTGCAAGTTCTTTAAGTTTGAATCGGAGGATGATTTATAATTTTAGCGTTGTTTGATGTGGTTTGAGGGCTCGACTAAGTTCGTATGGTATTTTAGGATTGGTTGGTATGTTTGGTCGAGGTCTCGGGGGCCTCGGGTGAGTTTCAGGTGCTTAACAGATTGAGTTAGGGACTTATGCAATTGCTGGAGCTGCTGCACCTGGTGTAATCGCACTTGCGCACACTTTGGACCGCAGATGTGGACTCAGTCCCCCATAAGTGATTTCACACATGCGATGGAATTTCCGCATGTGCGGTACTGCAAGTGCGGTTGACGGCTCGCAGAAGCGAAACTTCTAGGCAGAAAAGAGGAAAAATCGAGGGTTTAATTCATTTCTTCATTTTTGGACTTGGGAGCTCGGGAATTGGCAATTTTTCGAGAGATTTTCAGAGAGAGCTTTGGGGTAACGATTCCTAACTCCTTTTTGGTTGTATTTCATTAATCTATAGTTGTTTTCTCTATTTAATTTCGGATTTGGATTGAAAAGTTGGAGAAATGGGGGAAAAGTTCCCTAACCAAATTTATGAGTCTTGATTGGGATTTAGACATCAGATTTGGATAACTTTGGTACGAGTGAACTCGTGAGTGAATGGGTGTTCGTATTTTGTGACTTTTACCCGATTTGGAGACGTGAGCCCTCGTCGACGTTTTAGGGCGAATTTCAGAATTTTTGTTAAAATATTGATTTCATTAATTAGATGAGTCTATTATGGTTGTATTCATGATATACAATTGTGTTTGGCTAGATTTGGGCCATTCAGAGTCAAATAATCGAGGAAAGAGCATTTTTACGGATTGATTGAGCTTGACTCGAGGTAAGTGACTTGCCTAACTTTGTGTGGGGGAAATTCTCTTAGGATTTGGGACTATTGTGATATGTGAGCGCCATGTACGTGAGGTGACGAGTACGTACACGAGCTAGTTATTGTAAAACCCGATTTTGTTTACTGAGCAGCAACCTGTTTTTCTTTTATTTTGAGTTATACCGCGTTTCTATGCTCCGGAAGTATCATGGTGATCCGGCTAATGTATTGGATTTCTGCTCAGTCCAATTGAACAAGGATATATCTTATGCTGAGTAGCTAGTGGCTATTTTAGACAAGTAGGTCAGAAAGCTAAGGTCAAAGAACATTGCTTATGTGAAGGTTCAATTGAGGGGACAACCGGTCGAGGAGGCGACTTGGGAGACCGAACAGGATATGCACAATCATTATCCTCATCTTTTCACCACTTTAGGTATGTCTCTATGCTCGTTCGAGGACAAACGATTATTTTAAAAGGGGGATGATGCAACGACCCGGCTGGTCGTTTTGAGTGTAATAGCCCCGATCCCCTATTTACTGTTTTTCCGTACCTTTTTCTACTTATGTGACTTGCCGGGAGGTTTTATTTTTGGGTTTCAGAGTGTTTTGGGACACTTAGTTCCTAACACGGGAGCTTAAGTCTTAGGATTTTGACCGCAGTCGAAACTGTGTGAAGACGACTCCGGAATGGAGTTTCGTTGATTCTGTTAGCTCCGTTGGGTGATTTTGGACATAGGGGCATGTCCGGATTGTGTTTTGGAGGTCTGTAGCTAATTTAGGCTTGAAATGACGAAAATCGAATTTTTGGAGATTTGGACTGGTAGTGGAAATTTTGGTACGAGTGAACTCGTGAGTGAATGAGTGTTCGTATTTTGTGACTTTTATCCAATTTGGAGACATGAGCCCTCGTCGATGTTTTAAGGCGAATTTCGGATTTTTTGTTAAAATATTGATTTTATTAATTAGATGAGTCTATTATGGTTGTATTCATGATATGCAATTGTGTTTGGATAGATTTGGGTCATTCAGAGTCGGATAATCGAGGAAAGGCCATTCTTACAGATTGATTGAGCTTGACTCGAGGTAAGTCACTTGCCTAACTTTGTGTGGGGGAAATCCCCTTAAGATTTGGGACTATTGTGATATGTGAGCGCCGTATACGTGAGGTGACGAGTACGTACACGGGCTAGTTGTTGTAAAATCGATTGTTTTTACTGAGCAACAATCTATTTTCCTTTTATTTTGAGTTATACCACATTTCTATGCTCCGAAAGTATCATGGTGATCCGGCTCATGTATTGGATTTCAGCTCAGTCTAATTGGGCAAGGATCTACCTTATGTTGAGGAGCCAGTGGCTATTTTAGACAGGTAGGTCAGAAAGCTAAGGTCAAAGAACATTGCTTATGTAAAGGTTCAATGGAGGGGACAACTGGTCGAGGAGGCGACTTGGGAGATCGAGCAGGATATGTGCAACCGTTATCCTCATCTTTTCACCACTTCAGGTATGTCTCTATGCTCGTTCGAGGACGAACAATTGTTTTAAAAGGGGGATGATGTAACGACCCGGCCGATCGTTTTGAGTGTATTAGCTCTGATCCCCTATTTACTGTTTTCCCCGTACCTTTTTCTACTTATGTGACTTGCCGGGAGGTTTTATTTTTGGATTTCAGAGTATTTTGGGACACTTAGTTCCTAAAACGGGAGCTTAAGTCTTAGGATTTTGACCGCAGTCGGAACTGTGTGAAGAATACTCCGGAATGGAGTTTCGTTGATTCCGTTAGCTCCATTGGGTGAATTTGGACTTAGGGGCATGTCCGGATTGTGTTTTGGAGGTCTGTAGCTCATTTAGGCTTGAAATGACAAAAATCAATTTTTTGGAGATTTGGACCGGTAGTGAAAATTTTGGTATGAGTGAACTCGTGAGTGAATGTGTGTTCGTATTTTGTGACTTTTACCCGATTCTGAGATGTGAGCCCGGGTCGACTTTTTAGGGTGAATTTCAGAATTTTTGTTGAAATATTGATTTCATTAATTAGATGAGTCTATTATGGTTGTATTCATGATATGCAATTGTGTTTGGCTAGATTTGGGCCGTTCAGAGTCGGATAATCGAGGAAAGGCCATTCTTACGGATTGATTGAGATTGATTTGAGGTAAGTGACTTGCCTAACTTTGTGTGGGGGAAATCCCCTTAGGATTTGAGACTATTGTGATATGTGAGCACCGTGTACATGAGGTGACGAGTACGTACACGGGCTAGTTGTTGTAAAACCCAATTGTTTTTACTGAGCATC